CTGCTTCCCACACACTGTTCGATGGTCTATTTTCCCTGTCTTCACGTCACTGGCCACATTCCCTTTGCAAGCGGGGCAAACGTAAACATACGCTTTTTCCTGCACAACGCCATCCTTCACAGAAAACTGCTTCCCACACACTGTTCGATGGTTTATTTTCCCTGTCTTCACGTCACTGGCCACATTCCCTTTGCACGCGGGGCAAACGTACACATACCCTTTCGCAACGACCTGCGCGTCCCACACCTGGAAACGGTTACCGCATGCGCGCCGGTGATTTACCTGGCCCGTCCGTATACTGCTCCTCACAGACTTTTTGCAAGCGGGACAAACATATCGGAAACTCTTGCCTTTCCTCGCTGTTTTGACTTCATCTGCCAGCAACGTCACCGTCTCCGTCGCGCTGCCCTTGCTCTGCTGCTTGCAGCTCATTTCTGCCTGCCTGTCTGTGCTTCTTTCCGTTCCGCCGTCTTCTCTACGTTGCTTTGCTTGCGGCTGGGCTTCCTGCATTTGGGCCGTGTCCTTTGTCTTCCGTTTTCGTTCCACGCTGGCCCAGACATCAGTCGTCGCCCGCACCGCCCTCTGCCTTTCGTCGCTGTCTTCCCGTTGGCCATGTCCATCTTCAGGCCCGTCTGTGCTCACTTCTGTTCGGTTCTCTTGTTTGGGATGCTTTGCCTTCGGCTCTGCGTCCTTCATTTCGGAGCTCTCCTGTTCTCTGTTGCGTTTTCTTTCCGCGATGGCGTCCCAGACACCGGCGATGGCACGTACTTTTTTTTCTTCCGCTGCCGTCCTCGCGACTTTTGCCTGCGTTGCAGCTACCCGCTGTACCGCTTTGCTGATGCTTCTCCGGGGAATGGGGCACTTCCAGCAGTTGCTACAGACTTGGTCGCCATTACAAGAACGATGTTGCGCCAGCCACGGTTCAAAAGCGCACGCTGCTTGCTTCACCTTGCAGACGCTGCATCTCCACAGGCCCCATGCTTTACCCGAACAATCTAAACACACTCTACCGCCCGTGCGTGCTCGTCTCCACGCCCCGGCAGAATATTTCTTTTCGTCCTTGCGCGTATTGCAAACACTACACACTTGCGTCTGCTCGCACGTCGCACAAATGCGATAAAATGTGGCTTGTGGGGTTGCATGTTTTGCGTTGAATGCATCTTCCTGTTTCCAGGCCATGCATGCCATGCATTGCCACGGCATCTGCCTCTCAACGTGCCGAAGAATGCATTCTTTGCATACTCTCGCCGCATCTGTGCGTTTCCATCGACCAGCCGTGAATGCAGAAGCCGGCTTTGATTCATTACATTCTTTGCATTCCCTTTCGTCTCGGTATTTCGCTCGCAGCGCGCTCCAATCCATTTTTTCACCACCCCAGAACCGCAACAGCAATTCCCGCCCTATTTTTGCGCCTTTTTGAAAAGGTGCTGCAGGGAACGGTCTGTACACAAACAAACCATGCCTGTCTTGGACCCGCGTTAACGCAATGTAAGCTGTCAATGGGTCGCCTGCTTCCCCAATGTGCATGTCCATGACAACGCCTTCTTTGCAAGTTTGCCCTTGGGCTGCGTGAGCGGTGGTTGCAAACCCTGGAGCCAATGGAAACTGCTTCCGCGTCACACGGAGAACTGGCCGCCTTCGCCCCTTGTCCAAATACCACGGTTTCTTTTGCGGCGCGACAGGAAACACATTGTCTTCGTCAATCCCCTCGACACGCCAGGTGGTCTTGGTCTTGAACCGGACCAAGATGCACGCCGGCAACTCGTTCCAAATCTGCGTCCCTTCTTCACGCGCGGCTCCGACGGCATCGGCCGGCCAAACCCAGCCAACAATCTCCCCAGCACACCCCCGTCAAATTCCACGGCTGCGATCCAAGTGATCTGCGGCAGCCACTGGCATACCAAGGCACAGTGGCAAAACACCGTACAAGGACCCACAGTCCTGATCGTGTCGCTGCAGCCAACTCAATTTTTCTTTGCCCAGATCGGGCTTCTCACGCAAAGCCATGCTTGATATTCTATCTTTTGCAATGGCATAGTGCAGCACCTGTCCTTTTTCTGCGGCCCAAGCTTTTGCTCGCAGTTTATTCACATGATACTTCACGGCATTTGTGGCGAAAATAGCTTTTGCACCGGCGAACTTCTCGGACGCCGCGGCGGCACTATCTGCAACTCTGGCCTTGGACCGGCGCTCGGTTCTGCACATGTCGCATTCCGACCGTGAGATAGCATCTGGCGCTGCTCTTCCCGAGAGTAACTTTTGGCACGTGGCGTGGTTGCACTCTAGTCTGTGGCCGTTCCAGCTGCCAGGTACGCGCGTGTGACAGCCATGCAAAAATGCGTGGTTCGTCTCGGACAACGCGCCGTTTCGTACTTCGTTTTGTAGGCTCTGCAACCATATATCTTGGGTACGCTTGCACTCGACCAGTTCTGTCACACCATGGATTCCATCCGAGGTTTCGCCCCAGACTAACTCCTGCCCGCGGATGGTATGGGCTACTTTCTTCGTTTTGCATTGCGTCAACCATGTTCAGATTTCAGAAGGAGCCATGGCCTCAGCCAACAGGTGACCTTCCAAGCAGCTGGACTGGAAAAATCCTTTAGCACCATATCTGTTCGTGGCTCATTTTCCTTTCAAGAACTTGAATTCGATATCGAAACTGTACAGATGATAGATGTCACATCTTTCATTTCCATATATTTCCATGTATATGCACGAACGACTCGAATGGCGAATCTCCTGAAGATGAGTTGCTGGATCTATTTACATGTCACCGTTCTGACCCTTGAACCTACTTTAGTAAACAAATTTGTTTTATGTACCCTAAAATCACATGGACTAATGTCGTCACATAAGAACCCCAGATATGTTGAGTATATGTTGGGATATTTTTCAAATATATGTAAAGACAGACAACAAGAACAACGAATACCCTTTTTCCCTGGACACAAACACAGCGCAGTTTGCCAATTTCAGCTAGATTATCACCCTGCTCTTCTTCATCATCGAAACCGATAGGGTATCCTCCGAAAACAGTTGAACCACGACCGTTGGAACGCAAACGGAAATTTGATTCAAATTTAGATGTGTCATCGCCACGATTGCGAGCCTTTTCTGCTGAGTGTGGGGCATTGGGATGCATTTCTTTGAAACTTTGTGACCTGAACCCTGTTGCTGGTGTGGTTCATCGCCATGCAGTTGAAGTCTTGGAAAATCTTTTCCGACAACAAGAACCATTGATATTCAAAATCGGTTTCACCCATTCCCCAATTTGGAGGTGGTCGAACAAAACCTATGGGTATGAAATGGCCAGGGAAAAGTGGTCGAACATGCTTATTTTCTATTACTCCAGAGAACCCTACAGCCCTGCGATGCTGGAAGCAAGTCAAATTGAAAAATATGGAAGTGGCTGTGATGCGGTCAAACTATGGAAAAACGGATGTTCCGTGATTTTTCTAAATGTGCTTTAACCCCCAAATGGTTTTGCATATAATGGGTTTTCATGTTTCACTCTGCTTACCAATCAAGGCAGACGTGGATTTGGGATCAACAGAATCAACACTTAAAACACCTGCGCCCAAGCTTCAGTCCGCTTAGCGCCAAGCCACTTCAGACAAAGTTCGCTGCATTCTTGGGGACCAAAATGACTTGAGGCGTGAGTCGGCTAGGACGGGATACATGGTGGTTTTTACACCCCTCGTTTTGTTGTGCAAACCCTGTGTTTCAAGTCACACCTGCCTTTTTTTGCGTGTATGGTAGGTGAAGGTATATATATATATGTGGGATCATGTGCTACATCATACTCCCCAGGTTGATTGCCAGTACCCTCCCTCCGATTAGGGGGGTCGGCGGCACCTGGGCGCTAGCCCATTTTATTATTGCTGGTAAATCTATCCCATTAAAATAATATCATTAAATCCCATTAAACCTCTATTACTGCTGGTAAATCTATCCCATTAAAATATCATGAAGTACCATTAAACCTCTATTATTGCTGGTAAATCTATCCCATTAAAATATCATTAAGTCCCATTAAACCTCTATATTATTGCTGGTAAATCTATCCCATTAAAATATCATTAAGTCCCATTAAACCTCTATTACTGCTGGTAAATCTATCCCATTAAAATATCATGAAGTACCATTAAACCTCTATATTATTGCTGGTAAATCTATCCCATTAAAATATCATTAAGTCCCATTAAACCTCTATATTATTGCTGGTAAATCTATCCCATTAAAATATCATTAAATCCCATTAAACCTCTATTACTGCTGGTAAATCTATCCCATTAAAATATCATGAAGTACCATTAAACCTCTATTACTGCTGGTAAATCTATCCCATTAAAATATCATTAAGTCCCATTAAACCTCTATCATTGCTGGTAAATCTATCCCATTGAAATATCATTAAATCCCATTAAACCTCTATTACTGCTGGTAAATCTATCCCATTAAAATATCATGAAGTACCATTAAACCTCTATTACTGCTGGTAAATCTATCCCATTAAAATATCATTAAGTCCCATTAAACCTCTATCATTGCTGGTAAATCTATCCCATTAAAATATCATTAAGTCCCATTAAACCTCTATTATTGCTGGTAAATCTATCCCATTAAAAGTCCCATTAAACCTCTATATTATTGCTGGTAAATCTATCCCATTAAAATATCATTAAGTCCCATTAAACCTCTATATTATTGCTGGTGAATCTATCCCATTAAAATATCATTAAGTCCCATTAAACCTCTATTATTGCTGGTAAATCTATCCCATTAAAATATCATTAAGTCCCATTAAACCTCTATTATTGCTGGTAAATCTATCCCATTAAAATATCATGAAGTACCATTAAACCTCTATTGTTGCTGGTAAATCTATCCCATTAAAATATCATTAAGTCCCATTAAACCTCTATTTTTGCCGGTATATCTTTCTTCAAAACCAAGGCTGACCCCTGTCTGCGAAATCATCGTCATCTGCAACTAAGAAGCAGTTCTTGGGGCATGATCATTCCAGCAGCAAGATATCGGTCCTTCGTTTAGCGGGCCGCGATTGGATCCTGTGGATAGCCTATGGAAAACTCGTGTTTTTTTTCGTGGAGATTTTTTTATGGAACATCCACTATAAATAGAGGTTTCGGTAAGTCTATAACTAGGAAAATCCACTATAGCTAGAGGTTTCTATAGGGAAAATGATCAAACAAATCATGGATTTTCCAGCCATGTTTACCATGTAGGATCAGAATCAAACTGACAACAGGTCATCCAGTCGAACAGATTTTTTGGGCCCCATAAGGGGGATGAGTCCCTAAATATCTGCTTGGTGGTTTGAAGGTGCAATAACCATCTTGAAAAATATGAAGACTTCGTCAATGGGTTTCGGATGACATCCCATATATCTGGGTAAATTGTAATATTTCACTAACCTGAATTAAGGCCATTTGGGGATGATTCCCCTTACAAACCATGATTCCAGTGAGGTCGCAGTGAGGTCGTTATAATTTACCCAGATATATGAAATGGAAAATTTAAAAATGTTCCAAACCACCAACCAGATATAAATTGGATCGAGTCACTGTCCATGTATATCATTCAAATATATTCACATATCGAATACAGACCATAATTCAAGAATTAAAAAAAAAAACACACGCCCCATAGACTATCATAAATTACACACCATTTCAGAAATCCATCAGAAATCAGAAATCCATGATGAAAAAAATGATCTGGTTGGTGGTATACCTACCCCTCTGAAAAATATGGCTTCGTCAGTTGGGATGATGACATTCCCAATATGATGGGCAAGTCATAATCCATTCCATGGTTCCAGTCACCACCAACCAGGAACACATCTTCCCTATTGTAGAATCCCCAAATTCGTAATGGATTTCCCAGTGGGAAAATCAGCCAAATCATTTTCAGCTGCAGGAAGAATGTGGTCGGCCATCTTCCCCCAGCGTTCCAATAGATCGCCACGCTACATGACTTGGATAGATGTAGAGCTTCCAATAGATCCACGCTGCAGGTCCTGAAACCTGGCGTTTAACGAACAAACCAGTCGGCTTCCGGTGTGACCGTCAACGATTAAATTGATAGCTTGCGAAAAGGAATCAATGCCATGTATAGATATGATAAAAACATGTTAAAACGAATGATGTTCAAGAGTTATGTTAGTTTATCAGAGGGATCATCATTTTTTGACAGTTTGAACATGTTGTCCGCAACCTCAACGTTCGCCCAGACTCATCATTGTGACATAACAGAGACAATTCTGTGTTGCTGGGAAGTTGCGAATCCAAGCAAGGCCAAGGGGGAAAATTAGGCCACGGTGGCATGTGAAAGATACCTTGAATACAGTTATCTTCAGGAGGAAACAATATCACCTTGATCATCATGAGGGATCAAAATCCGCCACCCCCTATGACCAATACCTCCTATGCCCAATATGCTGAACGGGCTAACAACATGCCACACTCTATGGCCAATATGTTGAATCGGGTAATTACATCAACATTATCTTCATGAGGGAACAAAATCCGCCACCCCCTATGACCAATATGCTGAACGGGCTAACAACATCAACTTTATCTTCATGAGGGATCAAAATTTGCCACCTCCTCAGAACAATATGTTGATTGGGGAAATAACATCAACTTTATCTTCATGAGGGATCAAAGTTAGCCACCCCCTCTGAACAATACGTTGATTGCGGGACATCAACTCCGGGCAAACGTCCAGGTTGCAGCGAACATGTTCAATGTGTGGCTTTCCCTCCAATATTAAGTATCACCCAAACAAAGGAACCACAATTCAATGAATAGGACCAATAATGGCTAATACTAAACCAGAGGTTTCGCTTCGGGGTAGTATTAGGCAGAAGGAATGAATCCCTTACCCGGCCCCCATCATATATGAACCATATATTCCCAAAATGAAATTCCCTGTTTTTGTACTGGATCATTGTACTGGATCTAGTGCGGGTATTTATCTTCCAAAGCCATGGCCATTTCTTTTTGGCTTTGGCATTTATCTATTAAGGATGACTACAGCTATGAAAATCAACTTAACTCATCTTAACTCAACTTATATAACTCATCTTAACTCAAGATATCTCAAGATACCCTCTGGTAGTGACTAACAGTTTGCTATTGAAAATGGTTTGTGAATACAGTTGATTTACCTATTCCAAATGCTTATTTTCCATAGTTTTTTACACAACACCCTCGGGAGGACATCTAGGTCAAGCCACACAACAAAAAATCAACCAGAACGCCGCGAAGACAATGACATTCCTCAGCCCAAATTCCGTCATGGAGCACTGCCGACGCTGTCGCGACAGCGTCAGGTCATGGCTCGACCAACTCACTGGTTGGTGGTTTCAAACTGCCATCAATGGCCATGACTCAGGAACCGATAAAAATTGGAGGTACCTACCATAGAAAAAAAGGCCTATTTTTTAGGCCTATGTAAGGGGATATACCCCCAAAATATGGCCTCAAAAATGGTACAGTACCTCCACTTTAGGATCCTGGAATTCCCATTGATGCCATGTGATCTTGATTAATAGTTGGTTTACCCAGCTATAAAATGGGTGGACTTTGCATAGGTTTCTTGTTAAATCACCAGAAATTAACAATTTTTCACATGGATCACTGGTTGGTGGTTGAAAACCCTGCCCCCCAGTGATGAAATTAAATTCCCCTATGGAAAGTCATAAAATTCCATGGATCCAAAGCACCACTCCCAGGATCCCTGTGAAAGGAATCGATTGGGTTAACGCCTGTGCGGGGCTGTTAGTCCCATTTTTAGCCATGTTTGGGATTTCTATATAATTCTATATATTTCTATATAATTCTATATAATTCTATATAATTCTATATAATTCTATATAATTCTATATAATTCTATATAATTCTATAATTCTATATAATTCTATATAATTCTATATAATTCTATAAAATTCCATATAATTCTATATAATTCTATATATATATATATAATATATATACACACATCCCTAAGGGGTTGAAGACCTTCCCCAAAAAAACTTTGCAGATTACCCCAGTTTTGACCATGGCACATATTGTCACCAGGTCATACCAGGTCTACCAAGCGCTTCCCACCTGGACCATCTACCAAGTTTCAGAAATCTGGTCCAACCATATTGGTCCTCCCATTCGTAATCGTAATCCTTGTCCAATGAGATCTCGCGAGGTGACATGGTTGTGGTTCATGGAGACGGTTGGTTGAGGTGTCCCGTCACGTGTTGAGTTATCATGTTAAATCATGTTCCCCACGAAAAACCATGCACTATGATCCACTATAACAAACCCTATAATAAACCTATCAACAAACAGCCCGCGCATTTCTGGTTCATCTACTACCTACGGTAGGATGCACAGTACCTATCACATACTACCTATACCAATCATGGAGGAGGCACCAGAGAATGGATGTGCATGGATCAAGTGGATGAAATGATATCCTTGGTTCCAAAGGAAAAATCCAGGTTCGCGGAATTTCTCACACAGATGTTCTTCGATTATTCCAGATCCGTGCTGAAATCAACTGGGCGATTTTTCGTCACATCTTGGGGTGGGGCTTGTCTGCATTGCATGTTGCTCAAGGTGGTTGTCCCTGGTTCTAAGTTGCGAAAGTAGGCCCCCTCAACTATACTGGTTGGTGGTATACCTACCCCTCTTAAAAATATGAGTTCGTCAGTTGGGAAGGATGATATCCCATGTATTATGGAAAAATAATCCAAATGTTCCAAACCACCAACCAGCTATAGATTGATCTTTCACAACCCTGCTGAAATTTTGGCTAGAAATCAACTTAGCTCACTGACCACCTCGTTACTTTGCCGATGGGCTTTCCCCCACAGCAGTTCCATAATTCATTAAAGAGCCCTGGGCTACTCCATGCTACTCCTAACAGGGCTACTCTTAACAGGGCTACTCCTAAAAGTTGCTACTCCTTTAAAGAAAAAACTCGGAAAAAAAAGGAAACATATCAAACATTCAAAACAAAAACACACATTCAAAAAAACGCTTTAACAAATCAATCCAACAATGCAAACAACATCAACAAAAATGTCAAAAAAAAACAACGCCAAACATTCAAAGAGACTAATAATGAAAAAAAACATTAAAGTTCAAAACAAAATGCAAAAAGTTCAAAGAAAAAAAGTAGCAATAGTAAATAAAGAATAAAAATTGCAATAGTAAATCAAAAAAATATCAAAATTGATAAACACATCTTTAACTAAGTCTTTAAAATAATCACAAAGTATTATACAATGAAACCTAATTAGTTGGAATAAAAAATGGAATGAAATGAAATTATTTGGAATGAAATCGAATTATTTGGAATGAAATAGAACTATTCTGGAATGAAATTTCAAAATTAATGAACAGGAATGTTCTTGGAGTGTCCCTACAAGGAATGTCCCCCTCCATAGTCAAGACCATATACATCCCTGTACAACGAAATTTGACAGTAAATTCTGTGGACTGCCCACCAAACTTCAGCAACGTGGCCCCCTTGTAGTAGTAGTAGGAGTACTGAAGCTGCCGTTTTGAGCCTGTCCTCGAGTAAACATGGCTGGTAAACATCAAGACGGGTCACTGGGTCACTGGTTTGCATATGGGGAGACCTTCTCCAACCATCAGTTCATCAAGTTGCAAAACTCTGGTTCAATGGAAATCATCGATGTTCAGTAGCTTGCTGTAGCAATAGTCATCCGCTAGGGACCATATTTATTTCTGATTTTCTTAGGAGTAAGGTAGGCATGGACCGCTTATGAATCTTGTTTCAAGGAGACATTGAATCTTCGGCCCCAATGATCCCAGTGACCCCGGGGAAATCCTGCCACTTTCCGGGGGAAAATCACTGGGATTTTTCCCCAGATCCAGCCAGATCCCATATGACTTGCCGTCGCCAGTTTGAGTAGTGGTACCCGGCATGGTAATGACCAACATATTGAACATGGCCCAGTCGAAATAGTGAGTTTTCCCCATAAAAATGGTGATGTTCCATAGTTATGTAACAGTCTACCAGAGGGTATTCCTCATTTCCAGACACACCCATGTAAAGTCATAATATATGTTCGCTCAGAAAACTGATCTTGAAGAATTTAATTGCCAAGATCAAACCATGCTCTTCCAGTTTCAACATACACCAGGCTTTGAATAATATGTGGAGGATTATCAAGAATATTGGCTAATATCCCATTATATCCCCGTTTTGTTGGTTATATATATATATAGTATATACACCTTTCCTTCTGCTATTCCTATTCATTAGTATACTCCTCTTATTCTATGTTAACGCTCTGAATGACATTGGCTATACACAAGTGTATATACATATATATATATATATATACCCTCTGGTTATTTAACATAGCCATGGAAAATGGACCATTTATAGATGTTGTTTGATGGTTTACCCATTAAACATGGTGATTTTCCATGGCTATGTTAAATAACCAGATGGTATATTATAAGTAAGTATATGCACACACACAGAACCGCAGGCCATATCTGGTTCAACTTCCTGAATGGTTCCAACTAAAATGCTGGAAAATCTTCACACTCATCCGAACATCAAGTGTCCATTAAAATCCATTAAAACGTTATGGCATCTCTATGATCTCCATGTATATATACTGTATACATATATAATTATACCCTGTGGATCCATGGCCACTGTCTGAGAAGGTACGGCTGACCCCGAAACGTCATCATACCCCAGTCGTACTTTCAGAAGGCACGGCTGGATCCATAACGATACAGAAACATACACAATAATACACTAATTTTCAGGTATAACATAGGTAATAAACTGGTTGGTGATATGAAATAATCCATAAATAATCCATAGTAATCCCAATTTTTGTTCACTGTTGGGCCATAACTTATATCCAGAATAATCACAGTTTATAATCCCACAAGGTGGTGCCCCCCTAGTTATAAATTGGTTTATCAACCCCATGAAAACTAGTTCGATATATCAGCAACAAAAACCGCAGTGAAATTGGAGTTATTTGTTTACCCCAACTGAACGCTATGTTGGGGGCACCACCTTCTATAACATAGTTCATAACCCTATTTCAGGATGGTTTTCCATCCCATATGCTCCATGTATGGAATATTTACCTACATTTACCCCAAAAATCGCCCAGTTTTGTAGGTAAATATTCCAGCACCATGGAGCATATGGGCATGTTAAAACCATTCTTCAGGGGAATGGATTTTCCAATCCCTCATTTTTTGGGATACCTCTCTTGGGGATCATATCGTGGGACGATCCGGATGGAAACGATGGTTGGCTTGGGATCCCTCTGGTGATGTCAAAATAGCGAACTGGAAAATGGTGATTTCTGATTTCGTTCGTGGATTTACCACACTAAAAATGGTGGATCTTTTCATAGTTATGTTAGTTTACCAAAGTATAACCACTAATACCAGCGTATCGACTGACATTGAATCTTAAAGATAGCCTCATGTTCCAAGGAGAAAACCCAATGGTTGGATTTCATGTTTGATGATCTTTGCCAGCAAAATCACAATGTTTGACCGCTTAAACCAAGAATCGTTTGCAGAAAGGCATTGTTACCACCGGGCGGGTGAATCTCATCGTTCCTTGGCACTTGGCAAGGCGGAATTCGTTGGTGAACTGCAGAAATCAGTTGGTAACATATATCCATATATCGATGAGTCTGTCTGAAGATAGAGTATTTCAAAATCCAGGTGGCTTAAAACAGTCATTTGGGAAGATACCACATTCTCAAACACACCCATATATCCCATAGTAACTGCCTTAGGCCCAGCAGGAAAACAGATGGCTTCACCCATGAGTCTGAGACCGGTAACCTCGTCGTTTTTGAAAACCGGAATGGAACCGCAAAGCTGGATTAATCTATCTGTACATATATATATATATACATATCAATTCTGGTGGGTGGAGTGACCATATATATACATTAATTACATATATACTCATAATATACTCAGTTGTATATATATATATATACATACATAGATATAACACAATTGTATACAAATACGTTGGATACACTTTTTGTTGGCTTGCAGCTGGCGTTGCAACTATTTCACAAACACATTCCTTCCAGCTCGGTCGCTGCCAGCACGCCACAAGGTAGTAAAATTGGGGATGCAAAGAGGCAAAATGATCCATTCCCTCACTTGTGCCAACCATTCATTCACGCATCATACATACATATATGTATATATATATATACATATATATATACACATATATATATATATTATAGGCAATTGCTATCTATATATATATATACATATGACTATATGACATAGTATATATATATATATATTACATAATGTATTTGAATGCTTTTGAAGGAGCAACCCAGTTTCAAGGCTGCGAATGACGCCCAGCTGCAGTTTCAAGCTGCTCGACAGCTGCATGGCACCAGTCACCATGGAGGTCGCCGTTGACACGACGAAAAGCAGCACGCACTGCCCTGTTCCCCGTGGCGCAGATGGTAGAGAAATGTCAAACGCATGTTTCTCGCAAGTTGCACACAGATATACAAATATATATATATATACATATTGCACACTTAATATATATATATATAACAATATAATATAATATAATATAATATAGTATGATATAATATAATATAATATGATATGATATAATATACTATGATATAATATAGTATGATATTTAAAAATATATGTAATATAACATAACACAATATAATATAATATAGTATAATTATAATTTGATATATTATATGATATTGTATTATATTATATAGATGTAAATGTTTGGATTTGTACCACAAACGCCATGGTTTTAACATTTTTCGGGGATCTCATTCAACAAGAAGATTCAACCAACATGTTCCTGGCAACACTAGGTGCCCCTCAAGACTCTTAGATCTCAAATCGGCCCAGTGAAGCCGAAAACTCGGGACCCACGATCATTGGTCATTTAGTACCAGATATTACCAGTATCGAACACCCACTTAGTGACTTAGTATTTAAATCACAAGCATAGTATATTTTATAAGTGCTATTATGAGACCCCCATTTCTATTATATAAAGATATATATATTATATTATATATATTATATTTTTTTTTTATAAAGCACCCCTAAAAATTGAGGGACAATGCATAGAGTCCAGCCCCAGCCTAGAAGAAATAACATCAGCATTCCACAGATCATTCCAACGCGTTTGCCCGTCGACATTGCGACCAGCGAAACAACGGCGCTTTTTCGGCTTCGGAAATCTAGAGGAATCTACACAAAAGTCAGCATGTCAGCTGCGGTCGCCTTGAAATGCAACAAAGTCGGGACTGGTGATCATCACGTTCCCAAAAACCGACCATGACTGGTAACGACTAACATAGCGAACTGGAAAATCGCCATTTTGATAGGCACAAAAAATATGCAAATGGTCCATGGAGTCCATGATCATCCTTTTTTCCATAGATCTGTGACATTACCGGATTGTATTTCCCATTCATATCCCCATGTTTGTTGGTTAAATCCCCATTTTTCTCAACATTAAATCCCATGAAATCACCATTCAATATTTTAAATTTAAAGCGCCCATAAGATCCCATAAAATCCCATTAAAGCTCCACTTTCATGGCATCCAGCAGGTCCCCAAGTTCCACACCCCGCAGCAATGCATACCCAATAGGACCACGGGCAAACCAACCTGCGGAGACTCTGTGCCCGAAAAACTTCTCGTTGGGTCGAAAAAATGGGGGATACCACAAAGATAGTGGCTGTAATAGGCCAGGCCAAATATGGCAAAATGGTGATTTTTTGTGATTTTTTTTGGATCGATCCGTAAACCAACTGAAGTGTAGATTCTGTAGATATATCTGGGTAAATTACAATATTTCACTAACCTGAATTAAGGCCCCTTTCCTTCGCAAAGGAGCCTGCGCCCGGCATGAGCAGAACGCAGGCTCTAGATCCACGAGCTCTCTGCTGGTTTCAGCAGGTAAACAAAACTAAATTTGGATATCAGCTTAGCTGATGTTTCCCCTGCCTTGCTTGATGTTGCGCCTCGAGTATTTGAAGGTGTTGCATATATTGGTCCAATCCAAATCTTGCATCTGTTGACATCTGGCTTCCAGCCACGTTGGTTTGAAGGGATATTCATAGGACTTCTTTGTTTGCAAATTCTCACGTATGTATGTTGCCACTCGGTCCTGCATTGGATAGCTCGGTCGTGGTGACATACCACTGACACTCTGGCCAAACCCTTGAACATATAGCGATGTCTGTAAGCCCTTTGCCACTGTTGGCACTGCTGATTGCTGCATCAACAGTACTGCTTGTGCCCACATTTTTTGCGCAGTGGTGGCAATGTCATTTAGATGTACTCCATGTGCTTCGACATCTACTGCATCTTCTACCATTAGGAGTCTGACCTGTCCTTGCTGATTCTTACGGAGTATAGGCAAACATTTGGATACTGAAAGCGACAGCGAAAGTGCTAACTCCAGCCATGAAACGCCAAGCTCTTTCTCCAAAGGTCCCTGCGGCTCAGTTGGCCATATATAAACCTTTTCAGCCCACCATGTACCCCAGGAAAATTGAGAAAACCATTCTTGTTGCCCCCCCGGAAAATTTAATGCCTGCGTGTCGGCTGGCATCCAGTTGCAAAGCTTCTGAAAAATGGCATCAGGTGAGTTTTTGGCATTGACTGGAACTGTCGAAGCATCCTGTCTGGTTCTTTGTTGCATGGTTTGCGCTCGTGCTTTAAACAAATCCAAGTGCAGCTGGTAGCACTCATAGAGCAACTGTCTGGCTGTGTCTGTTTGGCCATGAAATGTTTGTAGTTCCATTTGCCAGTCCTGGTTGATGGTTTTACATGCAATCTTAGCCATTTCATCTGCTACATGGTTTCCCAAGGCATGATAAAGATCCAGCATGTCATCCAGTGCATGGAGGTTTTGGTGGGCCCGGATCTTACGAAAACGGCTGGGATCAGGTTGCATGTCATGAAGTTCCCAAAGCACATCTGCATTGGACTTGGCATAGAACTTGGAGGTATCTACAACCGCATGAGTGGCCTGAGATATTGCATAGTTACTGTCGGAATGAATAATCCCATATGGTATGGATGCTGCTGTTTTGATAGCCAAGAGCTCTGCACGTGGGATACTCTGGAAACCCCTCACTCTTGCAGCAAAACATGTCACTAGTGTAGGTGGCAAGGTTCGATGATCTCGAAATGCTCTGGCAAGTTCACGCCTGTGCAAGTCGTTGTCAGCTGTGTCAATAACTCCGGAGAATGCTGCGTACCGAGATGTTGGGAATCTCGGATTGCTGCAACTGCCGTCTACGTAGATATTGAATGGTTGTTGGTGCAATTGTCTGATTTCAGCAAAGGTTTGAAAGTTCTCCGCTACAATGGCATCAGGTTGTTTGTGATGTAAGAGTTGGTGTATTTGCATGTCTGCATGTGAATGGATCACCGCCATGTCGTGAAATGTGAGTCCTTCTTCCTCCATCCGGCATATCATGTCAAGGTATGGTTCTCTGGTATGTGCAAAAGCGGGACATGTCAAAAGTCTGTGGGTCTTCCCATCCCCGCAGAATTGGCAGTTTCCACTTGTGTCTTCCAACCAGTGCGCTTTCTGCGCTTCAAGCTGATATGCGCCGGCAATTTCCCGAAGAAGTTGTCTGCGGTCTGCATCGGGATAGGATTTGAGGATGGCAAGGGTGTCACTTCTTGAAACATCTGGCATGGAAAAAAGACTAAACCTAGCAAGAGAAAGCTGGTGACATGCTGTGAGAGGCTCCCACTAAAGCTTCTGCTGCCATGGTGCGCACCTTGGAAAATGTGTCAGTTGCCACGGGAAAAATTTCTGTGCCATAGAACATCGCTGGGTATATGCTCATTCGCAACACATACTCCTTGACTGTGAGGTTGTATGGCAATTGTGCCAACCTACCAAGTCGGTTGAGGCCATTTTCAAGTCTGGTTTTTCTGCTTCCCAAAACTCGGGTGCCTGAGTAGTAACTGAGTAGTGCAACTGGAAACCCAGGTCCTTTGCGTTATGGCATCTGTCAATGTCCTGTGCACGCATGTTGGTATGGATGGATTCTAATGCCTGCGCTGCAGTTGATGTCGTTGTGGCCCATCGCCAGGTTTTTCCCCAGTCAATTGCCAAGCCACAAACTGAAGTTACTTGCATGGTAACATTGGCTGCAGGGCCATTGTCTGACACTTGTCGTGTGATCCAGGCCCAGTTGTCTGCGTATGCCGACGCTTGGAACTGGGAGCTTGTTACTTTTTCGGCATTACATGCCCACAGCAAGGCAATTGCCAACATCACTAGCACCGAGTGGGCGTCACCTTCGGGAAAACCACATGTGGCTGTAATTGGTCCAAAGCATTGTCCACTAACTTCCCAGTATCTATGCATGCGTTTAATACTGAGGATGAATTGACGCACACGCGCTTCAGGAAGGCCTAATGCAAGCAAAAGGCGATGGCCCGCCTCATGTCGGATGCAGTTGAAACATTTCTTGATATTAAGGGTTAATCCTGAAAGGTCTTGGCCCTGAAACTTAGCTAGCTCTACCATCATCTGCACTGCATAAGCTGCATCATGGGATCCTCGCGATGGCAGCATGCCTGTGATGGAAGGGGGGAAGTATTGGGACCAGAATTTCAGAACCTGTGAACAGAACACACCAGCAAACAATCTGTAGATTTGACTCATGATACAAATCGGGCGGCTCTGTTGTGCAGTTGGAACATCATCTGTTTTATTAAGGGGACACACCCTGGTACGCATGAACCAAGTGGGAAAACCCTGGGAATATGAGTTACACACTGCAAGTAGCTCTTGGATCAAGACATCTGGCAGCATTTTGAGTTCTTGTGCTGACACGGCATCAAATCCCCGGGCTGAGGTGGCTCGAAGTTTTTTGATGGCTTCTTTCCATTTGTCTAGGGAGTCATCAAACTGGAATACGGTGGGGAAAATTGGCAGGTGTTGCACAAGCGTTTCAAACTCTGGCCAATTGTCATTTGGCTGTACATCATGTTCTGCCTGCCACAAAGGGGCCCAAAAAGCTGTCAACTGATCAGCAACCTGACTCGGTTCAACAACATAATTGGCCTGTGTGACCGTGGCTGTGGTTTCCTCGGATGCTGGGATGTCATGGAATTGCACCGTAAGACTGTGGCAATCATGTTGCACAATCCATCCAGTGTACTGCAAAACTTTGACTGGTGACATCGTGGTAAAAAGGTCTGGTTCATCACAAAAACATTCAACCTGTTGGTGCTCAGGCTTCCAAACAAGGATGCATTCTGCTTCGGCTGGAATGTAAACTTCTGTGATAGGTAATGGGGGTGCTCCCTTTACCTTGGAAAAAGCTTGTGACGATCCATGGTATCTTTGATCACAGAACCGATTAAATTGACTCTTTTTGGCAAAAATTGCATGGTCTTTGGCGATATCATCTGTGACCTGGTGTTGCACTATTTGGGATACTTCATGCAACCATTTGGATGTCGGTAGTGGCCATTGGGGGTATCCAAGTTCAGGTACTTCTACAAGCCATTGATAAAAAGGGACACCGAATGCTGTGGATTTGAGAATCGTTGTCCACTCTTGTTGGCATTCTTGGATGTATTCCTGAGATGTATTACCCCCATGGTCCATTTTTTGGATTCTCCGCAGCAGGTTTTGGATCCTTCGGGTTTGTTTGACCCTTCGTTTGGTTGTCCTTCGGTTGATTTCAAATTGAGGTTCAAAATCACCTTGTCGTGCTTTTGGCACCGAGCTATACACTGGAGATTTGATGGGGTGTCGTGGTTGGCATCTTCCTCGATATGCTTTGGGCAGGCCTTTCATGCCATGTCCATTGGTAGCATAATGGCTATGGATGCAAACATCGACCATTGATTCAACTTTTTGACCCCATTCTTCAAGTGTGGTGGAAATTGGGTGGTGCCGCATACTCTCACATGTCTGGGTCAGGTCGGCTTGGTCAATTCCCAATTCCACCCAGCTTTTTGGCATTTTCAAGGTAATTTTATGTAGTGTGGGTTGGGGCAACTGTAAATTGAAAAAGACTGGGCAATGAGTAGCAAACCATTCTGGTGACGTGACTTTGACATGACCTACGTACGGAATCAACTGTTCGGACAGGATGGCATTGTCAGGTCTGGTAACCCCTTGACACGCAGGAGGCATACCGGTGCCATATTTTTGCTTATGGATTGCTATCAAATCTGCACAACCTTTACGTTGGAATTGTTCCCAAATGGGAAGGTCATGAA